TGTGTGTGTGTGTGTGTGTGTGTGTGTAGGTGGGGGGTGATCATTTCCAGGAAGAGGTACAAAGAGGGAGCGTTTGTGTTTGTGTGTTACTAAGTGATTTCCTGGTCGACCGGGTGTATCCTGTTAAAACACACACACACACACTCAGTGGGTCGTGTGTGTTGGCCATGAATTTTATGTACACACACACACACACACACACACACACACACACACACACACACACACACACACAACCACACACGCTGATTCTGACATCACAATAAAAGTCATGACATCAGAATCAGTGTGTGTGTTTGTTCATTTTTTGTAATGCAGAATCAAAACATTCAGAACTTCATCAGAACGTTTGACAACAACGTCTCCATGTTCAGGTCAAAGCTCGTCAGTCAGTTCAGACTGAAGCTGAAGGTCGAGGTCTCATAATAAACACTTCAATCATTAAACATTAACACATTATGAATGCTGAGTGTGAAGCTGTAGTTTCACTGACATTTTTAAACATTTTGTGTCCCATACTACAACTGAACTGTGTGTATATATATATACATATATATACATATATATATATATATGTATATATATATATATGTATATCAAATATGTAAGTGTATGCATACAGAATATAATATGTTGATATGTTTTGAAAAACACACAACAAATAACAGACTCAACTTGAGGTCCTTTACTCAACTGTTCTGGAGATTTTACTTCACACACACACACACACACACACACACACACACACACGCACGCACGCACACGCACACATACACACGCACACAGGCAGACAGACTAAAATAGCAGCTCTAATTGGGAGGAAAAAAAACTGACAGAACAATAGAAGAGGAAGAAATGAAACCAGACTCAGTTTCATCAAGGAGAGGACACACAGTGATACAACTGTAACACAACCATAATACAACAATGATACAACAATGATACCACATGCAAACTGAACTCCATTCACCTCTGTGAGTCAGTCTGCATGATGATCCGCAACCTGATTATCAGCTGACACGAATTTTAAAAATCGAATTAAAATGACAGGAATGAGATTTAATTGATAGTTCATTGTTCATTAACTGTATATGCAGGTGTCAGTGTGTTTGTATACAGCCACCAGGGGGCCCCATGTTGTTATTATAAATTGTCTCAACTTGTCTACGGAATGTCCCTTTAACAGAATCCCTAATCAAACAGCTGATTGATTTTCAGGCGTGTGCACTTACAGTAAGTGTTTGTTCAATTTTACTCTAAAATGTTGGAGTGACAGCTTATCAGCGGTGCACACGCACAAACACACACGTGCACACCGCGCCCCCGGGTCCTCATCACGGTAATTGAATAGTCCCTCCACATGCACAGTCAGCATCATCAGGACTGCCCTCGTGCCCTCCACACCCCCCACCCTGTGTACCACCACAAAAAAAGTGTGTCCCTGTGTGCGCGTGCCCGTCAGTGCCTCTCGGTGTGTGGACGGACAGACTGCAGCTCCAGCACCGACAGTGAACCTGGGACATTACCGAGACGTTTCGATCCGTTTTCTTTCTCTTTTTTAACAGTTACCGGAAACGTGCGGGACAGACAGGGGCTCGAGCTTCCCGGTGAGTCTCCGGTGTGAACCCAGACTGATCCCGGTCTTTTCGGAGCTACTTCTTTTCTCCTCTGATCGTTTTGTTGCTGTATAAACATCCGTCCGCTTCTTCTTGTTCTTCGTTTTCTTCTTCTCCGATGCTGGAAACATGAAGCTGCAGGAAGCGACGGACTGAAAATCCCAGCAGGTAAAACCCCAAAATATTCACCCAGTTAGTTCACCTGGAAACGACCCGGAACAACCGGAGACCCGGATCATTCTAGCTGAGTGAAGCAGGCTGTTAAACACGAACATCACACAGTTCACCCATTAGTCTGTTAATCGATTAGTGGATCACCAGAAAAATATCTGGCAACAATTTTGAGAATCAATAACTGTTTTAATCATTTAATCATTTGATCATTTAATCAATTAAATTTTCTGGTTCCAGCTTCACAGGTGTTATGAAGGTGATAATCAATAATCACATTATTATTAAGTTAAAATCACAGTGAAGTCTCTGATCAGATCACACTTTATTGATCTGTGGTTTTCCAGCAGCACAGACACAAACTGAAGAACAACGCACATGAAGAGATCAGCAACTACTAGACAACTACACAAATCTGTGTGTAACAGAAATCCAGTGGTGCAGCAGCCACTATGTGAAGTCTGTTCTGTACACATATAAACAAAAAGTACAATATTCATAATTATGTAAAATATACAGCCTTATATATCATATACTGTAAACAGCCACTATCCAGTAATACTATGAAGTATACACTAAAACAAATAATACTATAAAAGCACAGTAAAAACAGTGGTAATACAGTCCCGTTATCTACTGATACATAAAAGAATTATAGATCTTATACTTATTAGATAGGGCCTATTATCTTTACACACACATGTATAAAATTATGTTATAGAATATTAAAGTCAACATCAGCTGAATGTTCTGTGTCCACAGAGGCTCAGCTGGTCTCCACTTTAATATCATCAAGACTGAAGATGAAACAGAAATGTGTTGTAGTCTGTAAATAATCACATCAACAGGATAAAATGAAGGAAAACATATCATGGTTGCATCAGGATAAACTGAAATGAGCTTTACAGTAATTTATTTCATGTTATCGTCTTCATGTAGAGATTTGTCGTCTTTACAAGCTAAAACCAGACACAGCTGGATGGACATCTGCTACTGTGTGGCAGACTAGCATCACTCCTTTTGTTTTTTATTACTATTTGTTTGACATTGATTTCCACCGTGGGCAACAGCCAGAGCTGGTCTCTGCTCAGTCTGACAGCTGTCGAGTGAGGAGGATTTGGATGCTACTGTTCTGATTGCCTTCCTGAAAAAGAGCTGCAGTGACGACCCCAGCACCTCTCAGAAAAGTTCGCAGTTTTCAGCTGAAGCATTCAGAGACGACGGAACACTCTTAAAACAAACCCTGGCTGCAGTGTTGTTCCTCCTGGTGGCTGCAGACGCTCAGCTCATTGAAAAACAATTAAAAACAAGACGCTGGTGCTCAGAAAAAAACGCTTTATAGAGAGATGCCCTTAAATTACTTTAAGTTAGAACATGAATATAACGGTATCATCTACATAGAAGTGAACACAAAAAAACAGGAGATTGACAATAAAAACAGTGGTCCTAAAGTAGAACCCTGAGGAACAACTTTGTGTTTTTATGAGATATCACTGTTAGATTTCTATAATATTCTTATTCTGTTTTAATGGTGATACTGCAAAAGACACGTGGAGAAATCACTGTTATTTCTGATGATTGAGAGCATAGAGGAATATTCTAGAAATGTTAGTTTATACACATTCTGCTGATGTTTAAAGATGATCCGTCTACAACTGTAAACTGACAGAACAGGGAGCTATTTCACTATTTCTAACTGTTCAGACTGATTCTGGGGCTGGATTTTGTGTTGCAGAGAAGATGTTACCTGACAAATATATGCAGGATTTCTGATCAGAGATCTGCTAGTTTCAACTTAAACTGATAAGTGGGACTTTTTTCCATCTGTAGTTCTGTGAGTGAACATGGCTGGACGCACTAGATTGTGACTCAGCTTCATATTCTGCTGCTATTAATCTGTCATCCAGGTGTGTGTCTGTGTGAGCGTCCATGTTTGAATCTTTGTCTCTGTTCAGAGTGAAGATGACTAAATAAGAAATATAGACCCACACTCAACCACACAGGGCTTTAGAGCACAGAACGTTTTCCAGGACTTTGTCAGAATATCACTGTAATGTTCCCTTAATGTTCCCGACTGTAGCACCGTGTGTCGTGTAGTGTAACTGTTTCTGTGACCCACTGACTGTGTGTCTGTAATGTTTATGTGTTCTTAATGTGAGTGTGTTCTTCACTCGTCTCTGCTGCTGTTTCGCAACAATGATTACATAATACTGAAGCTGCCGGAGAACAATGGCTCATACACACACACTGTAACACACACACACTGTAACATATATTAACACACACACTGTAACACACACACACACTGTAACATATATTAACACACACACTGTAACACACACTGATGGACACACTTATTGAATACCAATACTAATTGAACATTACATCTGTCACACTGAGAGCTGAAACTGCCTCAGTGTCATCTCTGCATGTGGAGATTAAACAGGACAAAACTTACTGCCTCACAGGACAGGCTGGTTTATCCAGGGGACACTTTTGTCCAGGGGATGCTTTAGTCACGGAATAGTTTTAGTAACAGGATAGTCAGAGGACAGGCAGGCAGCTGGAGGACAGTCAGTTCTAGTCAGAGGACAGATTACATTTTAGTGATTGTCTCAGTTTTTGCCTCAGCACTGTGAAATTTTGTTTGTATATTCATTTATTCACCTTTAAATCGTAGCGTGTATATTGTATGTGTTGTACTGTGACAGGCATGACTGTCTGATTCATGTTGTTATCAATAAGTAGATTAAAACAGGTTAACATGTGTCTGGTTGGTTCACTCACTCGATGTCATGCAGTCATGATTTTTGTTGTCATCATCCACAGAAATCTACACTGCCTTTTATTCTTTGGCAATGTTTAATCATTAGTCATATTTACACACTGCATAACCATTATTTAAATGGAAAATATCCCACTTGGAGCCCAGTTATGGATATTAGCTCCATATTTGTGGCCCTCTGTGGCCGCACAAACACACATGGGGCTCATATGGAGCTAATGGACAACAGTTGTTGGAGCCCACATGGACATGTTGGCCAAGTTCCCAGAAATCCCAGCAGCTCCTAAAGGGGATCCATGTTTTCCTTTTTAAATACAGACTTAATTAATAACTCTGACAGAAACAAAGAAAAAGCTTTGATTGTGGGAGAAAGGTTTGTCCATGGTTTTATCCAAATGGAAGACTGTGTTTTATCTTCAATGCCTGTGGTGTGTTTTTCCCTGCAGCTCGTCTGACAGGCTCCTAGACTCTTCGTTATCATGCTGTCCAGGTGGCCCCATCCCTCCTTCCTCCTCCTCCTCCTAGTCCAATCATCGGAGTCCTCTCTCTCCACTGACAACACTACAGAGGATCTTCAAGAGGTGACTCTGGCGGCCATCTTGCCTCTGACTAACACAGACTATGCGTGGGCTTGGCCTCGCGTAGCGCCGGCACTCCACCAGGCGGTGCAGCAGGTGAACTCAGACCCCTGGCTGCTGCCGGGCCTGAAGCTCCGGCTGGTTCACGGTAGCTCAGAGAACCGTGATGGCTTCTGCTCAGACTCCATGGCACCGCTGGTAGCTGTCGATCTCAAGCTGTCCCATGACCCCTGGGCCTTCATCGGCCCTGGGTGCGACTATTCTTCCTCGCCCGTCGCCCGGTTCACCACCCATTGGGAGGTTCCCATGGTGACAGCTGGAGCCCGTGCCATTGGCTTTGAGCCCTACGCGGCAGTCACCAACACAGGCCCCACTCACAAGAAGCTGGGCGAGTTTGGTGCCAGGATCCAGGAGACGTTCGGCTGGCGGCAGCGTGCCATGCTCATCTTCAGCGACAACAAGGATGCCAACGACGACCGGCCCTGCTACTTCGCTGTGGAGGGGCTCTACACGGTGCTAGGCAACCACAACATCACCATCCGAGACCATGTCATCGAGGCGGACAACGTCAACTACAAGTCAGTTGTCCAGGACATCCGAGATAACGGCAGAGGTGAGCCACTTCAACTGCTTTCGCTTGTTTAATTTGACTGCTTTGTCTTTCCTTTCCTCCTTCCTCCGTCCTCCCTCCCTTCCTTATTCCTTCCCCTCCTCCAGTCGTCAGAGGTCCACCACAATGACCGAGGTCTGACACTTCAACTGCATTCACTCTGTTTTAGTTTCTCTGATTCTTCTTCTTCTTTCATTCCCTTCCTCCTTATTTTCATGCTTTCCTTCAGTCAGTAGTTCTGACAACTGATTTAATTTCGTCGTTTGACTCTATTTCCTTTCTGCCTTAATCGCTCCTTCCTTCCCCTCTCTTCCTTCATTTGTTCCATCCTTCCTTCTTTTATCCCTTCCTTCCTTTCCTTCAGTAGTCAGCGGTCCAGGTGATCCGTGACAACAACTCAGGTCAGAGACTTGAACTGCTTTCAGATACGATTTTCATTTGTGTTGTATTTTTCCATTCTCTCCTTCCTTGTATCCCTTTTCCTTCCTTCCCGTCACTTCAACTGATTTCACTTCACTGTTTCCATTTGATTCTTCCTCTTTCCTTCCCTCACTTGTCTCTCTTTCCTTTTCTTTGGTAGTCCAAGTAATAATAACTTCTAATAATGTTACTACTTTCACTCTTTCTTTCTTTCTTTCTTTCTTTCTTTCTTTCTTTCTTTCTTTCTTTCTTTCTTCACTCCCCCTTTCTCCTCCTGCTGTGTCTCCTCATTAAATGATGGTTAATTATTATTTGATTATTTTGCCTCAGTAGTTACTGACTGATCTCAGCTCAGTGTGTGTCTCCGTTGTGTTTGTCTAACTTTATGAGGACATTTTCTAAAGGGTTTTGTTTTTTAGGTTCAGGTTAGATACTGGTCCAGGTTTATTTTAGCATTAGGGGCTATAGAGGGGAATAGATGATGTCAATAAGGGTCCTCATAAGTATAGAAGACCAAATGTGCGTGCGTATGTGCGTGCGTGCGTTGTACACACCTGTAAATAATCAGCTGCAGGAGTTTCAACATAGAAGAAGAAATGAATGTGTCCTTTCATCCTCAGTGTTTCTTCTTTGTTGGTCACATGTTTTTTTTTTATTTACTGTAGAGCTGTAAAATGTCTTCAGACTCTGCTTTCAGTGTTGGCTGGTAAAAAGCAGTTCCCCTGAGTCCGAAGTCTGAAGGTCTTTCTCAGTCACAGGTTCAGTCCAGATGACCTGAAGAGGTCTCAATCCTCCTCCTCTGTTTTATCAGCACCTGACTTTAGACAAGTATCCCAGAATGCACTTCACATGGTGATGGTGGAGATTCTGAGTCGATGAGTTCATGTATGTAGAGTTTTGACTTACAAACTGATGGTACCGTCATCTTTAGGGTGGATGTATGAAGGACTGGATTCTGTGTCCAGAGGTGGAGCATGGTCTATGATTTCCTCATTTGTGGCCCATAGAGCTCAGTGGAGTCCTTCTCCAGTCCAGCTGGTTGAGTGAGTCTGGCTCTTCATGAATAAAATAAAATAATAGGCCATTTGTCACTGAAATGAACCTTGGGAGTTGTAGTTTACTTCTGTGCACACAGGCTTGTACCTTTGACTTTAACAAAGAATCAGATCATCATTAATCCACACACAACTAAGATCTGACGTTAACATTATGAAAACAAGACACACACACACACACACACACACACACAAGGTGACATCATGGTGACCATGAGATGAGAGAGAGAGCGTACTGCTGATTAAATCACACACACAATAATATAGGTACTGAACAAAAACACACACACACACACACACACACACACACACACACACAATTACTCTCAGTACCATCAAGCGTTGCCGGCGGCAACAGATGGCCTCAGTTAGAGGATGACAGGAGCAGTAAGTGTGTGTGTGTGTGTGTGTGTGTAAAAAGATGCAAGAATGCAAGAATTTCTGGTTTTCACATGTGAAACAGTCAGTGTCCACTTTATTAGGTACACCTTAGGGACTGTATTAAAATGACTAGGGGTGGAGGGGTGAGGGATGGGGGGGCCAGAAGAGGGTGAAGCCTGTTCTTTTTAATGGAGGAGGAGCAGTGACAGTTTTCTGGCAGAGCAGGAGGGTTTTAACCTCTTCACATCACAGATTTATGTTTAAGTTCAGTGAAGGAAAAACATGATAAACACTGTGTCTAATATTTACACCAAAAATTGGAATTTGTGTTCAATGAGTCATAGAAGTTCTTTTAGTCACATGCAGAAAACAACAGTGCTCATTAAATCAGTAGAACCAATATGTCAGTTATGAGGAACAGAATAGCCGCTGGACTTTGTAATTTTCAGTGACATTATCTCTGCAGTAGAAGCATCATAGTTTATTCTGCAACAGGAAACAAAACCACAGTGACATGTCAGGTGTTTGTGAACGTATCACACGAGTGCGAATTCAATCTGTTTTGAGTTGCATTCACACCGTCAGTGATCTACAGCTGATAACAAGCGTTAATGAGTTCTTCCTGCCTGACTGTTCAGACAGCTCATGGGGGGGGGGGGGGGGGGGGTAGTGATAATCACCATGGTTACTGACGAGCCAAGCAGTGAAGTCAGACAGTTAACCTCAGAGGGGGAAACTGGACACTGAGCCAAACCTGGTCTATGGTCTGATGTGTTCACCATGGATGAGGACTGGCCTCCCAGGCATCAGGACCTCTGTCTGCCACCACCTAGAGACAAAACTATCACAAATGGATGTAAAATGGCAACGCTGTGTCTCTCTCAGTCTGGGCATCTTGCTCCTTTGTAGGAGGGTAGGGGGCCTTTCACATGTCTCTGCCCAGGGGCCATGTTTTGAATTGAAACAAGCTCTCATTTTTTTCCTCCTGTTTTCTTTCTTCTCCTCTTCTTCTCTAATGAGACTATATGACGTGTTCTTCTTCTTCAGTGGTGTACCTGTGCTGTCCCTGGGACATCTTGAGGACTCTCATGGTCCAGTTCTGGAAGGAGGGGGTGGAGTTGGAAGAATATGTCTTCTTCTTCATCGATCTGTTTGCTGAGGGTTTAGGGGGACGGGGTCCAGTCAGACCCTGGTACAGAGGAGACCAGGATGACCACACGGCCCGACATGCCTTCAGGGTGAAGAACAATTTTCTCTGTTATCTAAAAAAAAGTCACATTTCAATGTGTTGCTTTAGAGACACTGGGATCAGCTGATAAACAAGGTTAAATGTGTAGAATATGATCCTAGAGTCATTAAGATATTTTATATTTACTCTTTTTCGTTGTTTGCTTTTCTCTGTCAAACGTCTCATTACAGACTGTGGACAAATGAAACTGTATTTCTGAATCTTGTACAGTGTCAAACAGAAACAGGTCAAGCAATGGATTCAAAGTTCAGGAGAAACAACAGATGCAGAACAGCAGAAAGATGTTTTTACCATTTGTTCCTGGTCAGTTTATTAGTCCTGACTGTACTGTGTGTCTCTTGTCAGAGTGTGAAGGTGTTGACCTACCTGGAGCCTCAGAACCCTGAATATCTTCAGTTTGTTGAAACTCTGAAGAGCGATGCAAAGAAAATGTTCAACTTCACCATCAAAGACTCTCTGGTACCAAACACAATTACTCTGATCCTGTTATCAATATATTGATACTAATATGAGATCTGTAAACTACATGTGTGTGTGAGGAGTTTTTAAAGATTTACGTCTTCAGGAGTAACCAATGGACTGAGGAGGTCAGAGAGTTGAGAGACGCACTAACACACTGTGGGTTCGAGTCAGACACAGAAGAAGAAGAAGAATATAGTAGCACTGCAACAATTAGTCAGTGAATCAGTCCATAGAAAACTAATCATTAGGATCATTTCCAGGTTCTCATGTGAGAACTTCCTGTTTTTCCTTCACCCTCAGTATTTTTGCAGTTTTGACTGTTGGTCAAATAAAACAAAATAAAGTCACCTGCTGTTTTCTGATGTTTCATAAACCAAAAAATTTATTGATTATAAAAATAATGAAACGATTAACTAATAATGAAACAATATCTTTGGTTTCAGCTCTGAAATACAAAAACAAAACAACAGATTTATGAATAAACGTCACTCACACATGATTTAAAACAGCAGTAATAGAGTTCATTTATATAAAAGGTCAAAAACAAATACCCAGTAGGTTATATGTGTGTGACATAGATGGGATTTACTGACAATAAAGAATCTATAGCATAATAATCAGATTCATATGGGGAGTTTGTTTGTGCAGCTGACTGATGAGAAATGTCTGATGTCTCTGTCCCAGTATAACCTGATCGCAGGAGGTTTCCATGATGGAGTGATGCTCTACTCTCAGGCTCTGAATGAGACTCTGAGCGAGCAGACTGGGCCAGGACCAGGACCAGGACCAGGAGGAGTCCGGAGGCCTCGAGGAGACGTGGTGACCAGGAGGATGTGGAACAGAACATTCCAAGGTGAGGACAGATGTTTGTGATATTTCTCATGCGTCTATTCTGGAGCTGCATGGGAACGTGGAGCTGAGCAGTTGGCCAATCACAGCACAGAGCTGGATGAGAAAAGTCAGGATTAAAAATATTATTCATCAAAAAACCTCAAAGAGCATAAATATCTGACTGACAGCTGCAATGAGAAACACAGGGAGTCTGATGGTGCTGCTGATAACAGAACCACAGACTGTGTATTTGTGTCTAACAGAGTCGAGAACTAGACCCTGCTGGACCCCTTGTTAATTTAAAAATTATTATTAAAGCATTAGCATTATTAAACTCAGTACAACAGCAACAGTGAAACAAAAACAAGCAAACAGGATTAAAGCTGAATGATAGTTCAGCCCAGGTCGACCTCAACACAACAGGCCACCTAGACTGGACACTGATGTGCTGTTGGTGGCTGTTCAACACGACCATGTTACATCACATAAAACCACAGCGTGTCACTTGTTCTCCTCAGTTTTTGTTCAGATGAAACAAACCAGATCTAACATGAATCACTGACGTTCAGATGAGCTGAGGGTGGTCATTGACAGAGCCAGACTGGCTGTTTCCACGTTTCCGGTGTTTATGCTAAGCTTAGCTATCTGTTTCCACCTCTTTCCTGTTTTCCAGTCTTTATGGTAAGCTAAACTTGCTATTTCTACTTATTTGCAGTTTTTATGCTAATATGAGCTAAGCTAACTGTCTCCACCTCTTTTACAATCTTTGTGCTAAGCTAAACTAACAGTTTTTACCTGTTTCCAGTCTTTATGCTAAGCTACGCTAACTGTTTCTTGTTTCACGTTTCCCACTCTTTATGCTGAGCTTGCTGTTTCCACTTATTTACAGTTTTTATGCTAATATGAGCCAAGCTCACCGTTTCCAACTGTTTTACAGTCTTTGTGCTAAGCTAAGTTATCTGTTTCTACCTATTTCCAGTTTTTATGCTAAGCTAAGCTAACCAGATCCTGACTCTGTGGCTGCCCTTACAGATATGTGTCAGCAGAGTTTGATAAATGTTTTTATCATGTTGGGACTGATGGTCCAATCAAAGCTCTCACTGTGGTTTTCCTGTCCTGGTTGGTGGTTTTGGTCCCAGACATCCTGTCTTTATGTCCCCAGTGTTCCCAGTATCACAGCCAGCTGGTACACATTTACACTGCAGTGCTACGCTAACATGCTAACTCCCCGCTGACACCCACAAAGCCGTGAGAATGTGTGTGTGTGTGTGTGTGTGTGTGTGTGTGTGTGTGTGTGTGTGTGTGTGTGTGTGTGTGTGTGTGTGTGTGTGTGTGTGTGTGTGTGTGTGAAAAACAAAGGGAACGGCAGCTTCTCGTTCTCATGGCTCTCACAGAGCACAGAGGGTCCTGATTGGTCGATCAGGGTTCATTAGTTAATAGACAAGTGATCAATTGGTGGAGCTGAGAGAGAAGCTGGTTTCTCACTGGAAACAACAAACTCACTTCATGTCTCAGACAAACACAATAAATGAATCAACATGTCTTCACCACTGACCTGAGCTGTGGACCTCCAGTCCGGTCTCAGACCTTTTTATGGTCTCAGTTCTTAAGTCTCTGGTCTCGACCGAGTCCATATGCAGACTCATATCATATCGCTCATATAGCAGCAAGTTTAATTAGTACAATTTGTATTTTGAAATACATGGAAAATAGGACTCAGCTCGGGTCACATGGTCTCGACTGTCACAACTGATTTCTACTGAGTTTATTTTCGAGACGTCCAGCTCCTGGTTGAGAACTGAGTTAGTGGAGGTTTTTAGAACTTTTTAACCGGAGATTTAACTCAGGGCCAGACAGATCAAGTGCTGAGGACATGTAGAGGTCACAGTGTCATGGAGACCTGCTGAGGACATGTAACATTTCCTCAGTACAGCTGAAGCTCTGCATTGTTTTCAGTTCAGAACAGGAGGAGACAGGAAGTCATCAGTCATCTGTCAGAGAACAGTTTCAGGAAGAAGCTTCATGATCACAAGGACATTGAAGAATGTGTTAAAAACACGTGAAAGTTTTATTCATGAGGACGGATGAAAACATGACTGTAAGATCAGAGCAGCTGGTTGTCAAGTCCACACACCTGTCACCTGTCTGACAGCATGAACACACAATAGTTAACACAGGACCAAAATATTCTAATCCCTGTGGTGGAAAGTAACTAAGTAAATTTACTCAACTATTGTAGTGAACTACAGTTTTCAGGTACTTGTACTTTAAAGAGTAATTCTATTTCATGATACTTTCTACTCTATTCACCTGACAGACACAGTCACTGGTGACTTTACAGTTACAGGTAGTTGTGTAAGTGTATATAACATAGTTAAAGCAGCCACGACCGATAGTTACTGCGATACTTTAACTACACGAAATACTGATACTGTGAGTACATGAAGTACTTTTATTTTGATACTTTAACTACATTAAGTACTTTGATACCGTGTGAGTATATCTCTACTTCAGGTTTTATCTCTTTCATACATTAACTGCTGCAGAACAGAGGGTTTATGCTGCGTTCACTTCTCATCAGTTGCTGTAATAACAGCGTTCATGTAAAGGTCCATGTCATAGCTGTGACTGATGTATCTGACCTGGTATATATACAGTACACACACACTTTAAAACCAGACAAAGAAAAACAGTCGTCAGGCTGAGATTCATCAGCAGTAAAAACGTCGCCATCCATCACACACATGTTGTTTTAGACATCACTCATTTTAATTTTAAGAAAATAACTTCTGTTGTTTTAGTTTGTGAAATGTTTATAAGACAAACAGACAAGACTTTTCATCATGTGGACAGAGAAATACAAAACAAACTGTTAGAGACAGATCTCTGAGTGTCCACAAACACTGAGACTGAGAGGGAGGACGGGACGACAAACACCAGACAGGACAAAACAGGACAGGAGGGACAGGACAGGGGTGTCCCAATGGTCTTGGTAGCCTGGGATGTTGGTCCCAGAGTGGTTGCATTCAGGTCCAGCTGGTCCTCTCACCTCTATATAGTCAAGTAAAGACAAAATGCTGCCAAAACAGGCAGGACAGGGAGGAAAGGACAAAACAGGAGAAGACAACTGAGACAAAACATGACTGACAGGAAAACAAAGATAAAAGTGGACGGGACCTGAAAGAGAAGTGGAGACAAGAGAAAATAGGGACGAGCAAGACAGTCAGGACAGAAGAGGAAAGGACATAAATATCCAGTCCAGCATTACAGGAAACAGACTCATCAGGTTGAAGGTGTCACTTTCAGTCAGCATGACATGGTCTTCATTTTAATCAGGACTTCATAAATCACCTGGTCTGTCTCTCAGGACCGATGTCCTCCATCCTGCTCTGTTCCTGCAGGTTCACAGAGACTCAGAGGACAACAGACACAGGAGAGACGTTTGATTTGATTTCAGACACATGGTCACAGTGTCTCAGTCACTAAGACTGATTCATATTCAGGTGTGTGTGTGGTGGGGGTGGGGGTGGGGGGTTCAGGGGTCCAGGTGTTGAAAACAAATGTCTATAGGAAGTGGCCATCCATCACAGGAAGTGACACGCTGACTGTTGGGCTCAGCTGCAGATGACTGACTAATGAGATTAGGCTCACAGCTGACTCCACAACTCAAGATTACACCGCACACAACACAACACACAACACAACACACACAACACACACAACACAACACACAACACAACACACCACACACAACACACCACACACAACACACGCCACACAACACAACACACACAACACAACACAACACACACAACACACCACATACAACACACGCCACACAACACAACACACACAACACACCACATACAACACACGCCACACAACACAACACACAACACAACACACCACACACCACACACAACACAACACACAACAGGACACACACAACACAACACAACACACAACACACGCCACACAACACAACACACCACACAACACAACACACGCCACACACAACACACAACACAACACACCACACAACACAACACACGCCACACACAACACACAACACACGCCACACACAACACACAACACACGCCACACACAACACACAACACAACACACAACACACAACACAACACACAACACACAACACACCACACAACACAACACACAACACGCAGGAGTTTACATTTTGTGTTGTGACTTTTTAAACTGTGATTCTGATATTTTAGTTTAAATTTGTTTCAGTGAGAGTTTATTGATTTAACACTGACCCTCAGTGACCTCAGTGACCTCAGAGCTCCCAGTGGACTCTCATCACTTACTGAATGCAGAGCGACTAAAGACATCAGTCAAACAGACCCCCATCCTCCTGAAGGAAGGACCTGTGTGAAACCAGCTTCATCCTTTATTGTGAAGGAAAAAGTTTGGTTTCCTGCTGCAGGAAACTGACATCACCACCCTGACATCAGCAGGGTCAAAGGTCAAAGAGTAATGATGAGTCAGCAAACACAAAATCACAATATCTGAGACAATCTAAAATAAAATAAGTTTAAACTAAAACCTAAGAGAGAAGATTAATGAACTAAGAGGACAGAGAGGTAAACCTGTCTCTGTCCTCATGCCTTCAGTTTATAGTTTGAATATTTCAGTGTTGATGTAGACGTCAGTTAGTGTTGAACATGTTTCAGTTTATTGATCATTTGATTAACACAGCTCCTGATCAATTACTTTTCCAATGAGTTATTGATTGTTTCTCCAGTTGATCCTCTTGACCCAGCGTGTGTTGGGTTAAAGAGAACAACAGGAGGAAACATAGACAGTGGACTGAGCGCGGTGATGGTGCTGATAAACAGGCTGCTCTGTCGGCTCTATATTGAATTGTACTGCTTTTATCCAGCAACACACACACACTGAAACACACACTGTGCTCATTAATCACTGGGCATGTGCGTCAGAGGGGGAAGGATGGATGGATGGATGGATGGATAGATAGATGGATGGAAGAGTGAGTGATGTAGGGAATGACAAGTAAAGGAAAAAACATGATGTAAGAGGAGGAAGAGGAGGACGGAGGGTTGAAGAGGAAACATGTTTGCAGTTTAAATGATGGAGGGATGAACGAAGGTTTCACTCTCCAGATTATTTTTATTATTAATCGTCCATTATTTTTTCCGCTAAGATCAAATCAGACTTTATTGATCCTCAGAGGAAAAATTAATTCATGGATAGACATAAGGAAGAAATAAATAAATAAATAAAACCATAAACAATCAGTGTGGTACAGTTCTGTTTCAGTGAAGTATAAATGTAATGTGATAACAGCATACATCAGAATAATACATACTGTATTAATATTAATATAATGTAATAAAACAGATCACACATTATCATAAAGTATAGAATATAAAATATGAGGTGTAATGTGCTGATACAGAGTTTATGACTAAATAATAAATCACATATTAACAGCAGCTTCTCTGGGTCATTATTGTGAAATCTGACAGAGAAAATTATTGTTCTTCTTTCTTCTTTGAAACATGTTGATTAATTTTCTCTCAGCTGATTATCTCAGTCATCTTAAAAGTCATTAACTGGGTGAGGCTGCGTCTCATTTTTAACCCGTTAATTTAAATGAAATAAATAATGAATCATGTTTCGTTCTACAACACTGGAAACTGCAAACATTTTCATCTCAGATCAGTCAGTAGTTTTTGTGAAGAACCAGAACAGATTAAGTCAGAAAACAGTGAAACGGAGACACCAGATGAAGGAAGCCGGTTCAAATGATTTGAACAGTTAATTGATCACCTTTGACTAATTGATTTATTGATATTTCTTGCTTCAGCAGTTTTTTTTCCAACAAAGTGAGGTTGTCATTTCTAACAGAGCCAGCAGCTGAGGCTGATTTTCACCACAGCCTCGTTAACTTATGATAACGACCATTTTACAGAAGAAATCTGAAAACCGTCAGATCTTCTCTGGAGCTATCGGTCTGTTCAAGGGTCAAAAACAGTTTCCAGCTGGTAATGAGCAGGAAGGACAGAGCGTGTTTTTATTGATTGACAGTGTAAATGTGTCTCTGGCTCAGTGAAGCTTCACAGACTCAGAGACTGATGAAGAACTGCGGAGCTGGTTTACAACGAGCAGACAGTTGCAGATCCCTGTGGTTTAATTGGCTGACGGAGACAAAACAACGCTTCAGTGGACACACCTGAGAGAAAACACTCAAACTCTCAGCGCTGAGGGGTCACAGGTGTCAGGATGTCGTTTCACAGGCTCCATCAGGCAGTTTAAAACATGTCGAGGCTCTGAGGGCAATTCATATTGTTAACTGTTAATGACTGTGTGATGATGTTTAGTCTCAAGACACAGCAGCTTTTAGCTTCGGCGTTGACTCAATGTGAAAAAATAATAATAATAATAATAATAATAATAATACACTGTGTGGGGTTTGGACCAGTCATGGCCCACTGTGGTTCTGTGAGGCCTTCACCTCCCTCACGTCTGACTCCCCAGAAAACTTTTTTTCAGTTCAGTCCCACTGCTCCATCCACCTGCTCACTGCGTATCTGGGTTAGGGTTATCTTTATCACCGTTTGAACTCAGTGGACTGATGATGACTCACTGTACATAACAAATTTAAAACACAAAAAAACAGTTTCAGAGTTAAAATCCAGAAAAACCAGGTTGTTCATCCAGCAGCAGTAACTCTGCAGACAACAGACAGGAGGAGCAGAGAGCAGTGGGGTTAGGACCACAGCTCCCAGTACAGCTCCCAGTACAGCTCCCAGTACAGCTCCCAGTACAGCTCCCAGTGAGTCCAGTTTTAGAGAATAAGCAGTGGGCAGAAAACAACAGGAATCTGGTCTGAGTGTATTTATCAGGATACTGTTGTACCTTCGTGTTCTGCTCTGGTTTCATCAGAAATTATAATTAAAGTCCTCTGACCTCTCTCTCTGTAGCTGCTGACTTATACAGAGGAAACAGAAAAAACAAGCCACAGTTAAATGAGCTGGTTGTTCTGTTTCATTGTTGTTCTACTAATCATCATAATGAATTTATCCTGTTTGCTACATGAGTCTTACAGTGTGACACTGATCAGTTCTGGTCTGAGTCACAAGTCCTGGACCAGTTTCTATTCACACACCTTTCTTGCATATACACACACATATACACACAAATGTAAACACACGTACTGTCAGGATTAGTCTGAGGACACTCAGTGTATTTTTCTTGTCAGACATTGATTACCTACACACACAGACTCTGTTCACCTCCCATACCTCAATGCCTGATTGTGTGTGTGTGTGTGTGTGTGTGTGTGTGTGTGTGTGTGTGTGTGTGTGTGTGTGTGTGTGTGTGTGTGTGTGTCAGAACTTTAATCAACAACTATCTTCTTTTTTTTCTGTGAATAATATTTTGTTAAAATTTGAAAAACCATCTACATACAGATACATTACACACACGTGTGCAGATAAAAGCTATGTTCACTTCAAACTAAGAAAAAATATGGAGGACAGCTGATATTTAATAAACATCATGTTCTTTGTGTGTCTGTAGGAGTGATGGGTGTGGTGGAGATGGACGAATTTGGGGACAGACAGATGGACTTTGCCATATGGGACATGACGGACGTCGACTCTGGAGAGTTTCAGGTAAAAACACCTGACTCATGATCTCAGCAGCATCTCTGACAGGTGTGCTCTGCTGTGCCTGTAACCACACCCAGGAGTGATGCCACAGTGTACTGCAGTACATCTGTACATCACTGCAGCCCAGCGCAGGTTCAGTCCAGGTGTTTGTCTATTTCTGTACTGTGTGTGTGTGTGTGTGTGTGTCCAGGTGGTGAGTGTGTACAACAGCAGTACAAAACAGCTGGTCATGCAGAGTGGGCGGAGCTTCCAGTGGCCAAGTGGATCTCCACCTGCAGACATCCCAGAGTGTGGCTTCAAGAACGACAAACCAGCCTGCCTCACACGTATGAAAACATACCTACACAGACAGTCTGTACTTTGTTATTGTGATCTCAGTTACATCATCCATTCCCAGCCCCGCCCACAACCTTCACCTAAACCAGATCATAACTTTGCTGCTCCATAAGAAGACGTGAGGATCAAACAAACTGTCCTCACTTCTCAAACAACATTTATTTAGTAAACTGTCTCTGCCTGTTCTAATATCTACCCCCTCCCCGTCTCCTCTGCAGGTACAGTGTCGATGCATCAGATGGTTGCCATAGTGATGTGCTTCGTCTTTGTCATCATCGTTACCGTGACCGTCTTTATTTACAGGTGAGACACACACTCATGTATGTTTGTACTTGTATACTTGTGAGGACTCTTATTAACAGTTTTCTGACCCAAAGTGTGGACCATCCAAGATGTCCTCACTGTCGAGGTCTAAAACTCATACTGGTCCTCACAAAGACAGACAGACAAGAACACACACACACTTTGTGGTGGTTTGAGCTCTCACAGCACCTCTCCCTCTCTCTCCTCTTTTTATTTTTACTCTTTCCTGTCATTTATTTCTTCATCCCTCTTTCCTCTGTTGGTCCTCTCTACTTGTCAACTTCGTCTAATTCTTTTCATACATCCTCTCTCTCTCTCTCTCTCTCTCTCCCCCTCCCTCTCCCTCTCTGTCATAATAGAGAGATCACAGTGAGGCCCAGAATGAAGGATGGGTGGATGGATGTGTAGATAAAGAGAGGGATAAACATGGCTCTTGTTATCTCCGTCCATCCCTCCATCTCTTCTCTCCTCCTCCTCTCTATTAAACAGCTGGATGAAGGTGTCTCTTAATCCTCGATCGTCGTGGCGAGATGACAAGTTAAACTCTGCTCTGATTGGCTCAGAGTTTGAAGCTGGATTCTTCAGATTTTTTCATTTTATTTCCATCATCAGCAAAATACATAACCGTATAAACTGGAAAAAATATAACGAGTCTGATGATCACAGATGAAAATTTTGACTCCAGACTTTGTTGTGACTCCACATCTCACATCTGTGCTTTTCCTACAACACTGAACACTGACGAGCAGGGTGAAGCCCTCTCCCTGACCCCACCCACTGCAACGCCCTGGTTCAATGTCAAGTCCTCACTTTCTAAAACGAGTCCTCACTTTATAAAACATGTCCTCACTTTCTAAAACAAGTCCTCACTTTCTAAAACAAATCTTCACTTTCAAAGACAAGTCCTCACTTAGAAAGATGAACAGATGAAGATGAACATGATCTTAGAGGTTAAAATGATGAAATAACATCTGCATTGTTTGATTAGTTTATGAATCTGAATTGTGTGTCTGTTACTGTGTGTAGATGAAACTTTAATCAGAAAGTTTAAGTTTAATCCACTCTGTAACATTTTACATCAATAAATCACCAACACTTTAAGTCACTGACAGAGTTCACTTAACTGCAATGACGTGATGACAGTAAGTGGTGGAACACACTAAAGGCTGTGATGGGAAACACGCAGTGCTTAGAGAACTGGTGTTTACTAGGCTTGGTGTTTTCTCTTCAGAGTGTCCATCATCTTCAGTCTGCTCATGATTTGTTAATAAACTCTGTTGCAGAGAAAAACTGTTCTGATTCAGCTGTTTGTGGGTTGTTGGGGATCAGTGAAGGTGAACATGTTACAGGTTCCCATGGTTGTGACTTGTTGACAGGAACATGATCTGGAGTGTCCTTTCAATTTGTTATGTCCTTCTCAGACCATCCAACAACCTAGACTGCAGTCTGGCAGAAACACCTTCATGCCCACGATAACAGAAAAAGGATCCAGTGTTCTAAAATGAACTGTTACTGAGAGTTCATGAGTATAAGGCAGTCATGGTGGATTTGTTGTTTACTTCTAGAAAATGGCCATGTGATCGGAGCGTGATGAATCAGGGATTGATACGTCATGAGACCCAATCAAGAAGCAAACGTGGGTCTGCATCATCATTTGCAAAAGTCTTAGTTTCAGCCGGTCCAGACTAAAATGCAACCCAGAGTTGTCAAACTAAAACAAGGCTAGCAGTGTTTCTGAAAGTCTAGTCATAGTAGGTAATAAAAATCTAACATAATGTTAGCTAGATAAATCTACCCTTCTCTCTCTCCTCTTTCCTTTTCTCTTCTTCCCTCTCTCCCTCTCACCTCGGCCAGGTGTGGCCTGTAGATTCGTGCTATTGAGACTTTATGACACCGCAGCGGCGGGCCCCGCTGTGAAATGTGTATAAGGGAAACACTGCCTCTGTCTCTCTATCTCTCTGTCTGTCTCTTTGTTTCAACTCAATTCTTTTCAACTCACTCATCACTTTCTTGATTATCCTTTCCCTCACCTTTCTCTCCTTCTCCCCCACTTCTTTTCAACACACACACACACACACACACACACACACACACACACACACACACGCACGCACACACACACATGCACACACACTTGTTTTCCTTTCTGTTGAACAGGAAGTTGAAGCTGGAGAGTGAGCTGGCAGCTCAGCTGTGGAGAGTTTCCTGGGACGACGTCCAGATGTCCAACTTGGATAAAGTCCTGAGGAGAGCCTGCAGCCGACTCACAATGTCTCTGGTAACAAAACAAAAAACAAAAACAACAAACGAGGTCATTGAAGATGGTTTCCACTAACTTCTAACTAGATTCATTTCAACAAACTCATTTTGTTTCTCTGCAGAAAGGATCCAACTATGGCTCCCTGATGACCATGGAGGGAAACTTCCAGATCTACACTAAAACTGGATACTACAAGGTCTGACGCTGCCTTATATCACCTGCTGACTACAAACACCTGACACTCGTTTTACGTACAACAGTTGTGCTGATGATGTAATGAGTTGCATGGTAATCTTACTGATGTTGTCCTCTGCAGGGAAATCTGGCAGCTATCAAGTACATCAACAAGAAACGTATTGAACTGACCAGAAAGGTTCTGTTTGAACTAAAACATGTAAGAAGTCAATCTCTGTACCTACCAATAGACCTAATGATGGACCTTCATGCTTAAAGTGACCTCCAAGTATCAAATTTGTGGGATTAATGCCTTATATGTAGAATGTTGACGGTCTTGGTGAGATTTGAACCAACCTACCTCCAAACTAACCACCCTACTTACCTACCTATGTTGACCATTAAGTAACTTCTTTGTAGGATCAGTGCCTTTCTTATTGGACTTGAAGCTACCGACAGATTTACCTACCTACCAATTGACTGAGCTACTAACTGGCCTAACTGATTAATCTGCCTACTGACCTACAGACAGACCAACCTACTGGCCTTCCAACTTGGGTTCAGCACTGAGGTCCAATATGGTCAATCAGTGCCTGCAGTTTGCAGGATGCTGGTGGTCTTGGAGGGATTTTGAACCTATTGAACAACCAACCTATATACTAAGGAACTTTGCTACCAAGATACTGACGACTGACGACCTGCCCATCAACAGACCTACCTACCAACTTATCGACTAACCAACCGACTTGCTGACTTAACTACCTAACTACAGACCTACTTGTCATTCTACCTACTGACTGACTGACCAGCATATCTACCTACCCCCACCAATTTACCTATTTATCTTCCTACCTATCTACCTACCAATTAATCTACCTACCTTCTAGCTAAACTATCTGCCTATTCCTCCTCCTTCACTACTGTCCCACCTTATTTCGGGGGCAACCTTGTTTGTAAGCTGTTGATGTTCTTGGTGGGGTTCCTACTTACCTACCTACCAACTGCCCTCCTGACGGACCTACCTACAAAAGTACTTACCTAACTACCTACCTACCTACTGATGAACCTACCTACTTATGTTGACCACTGAGTGTCTAATTTAGTTTTAGTGCCTTGCATGTGGGATGCTGATGGTTTTAGTGGGATTTTAACCAGCAGCCTGTGTTCCTGCAGATGCGTGATGTTCAAAATGAGCACCTGACCCGCTTCATCGGTGCCTGCATCGACTCACCAAACATGTGCATTATCACAGAGTACTGCCCCAGAGGCAGTCTACAGGTACTACACAACCAACTCCATACCCCTCCATTAACCATGTGTACCCTTCTAACAACCACCTATACTCCTCTATACCTGTCTTTCAACCATCAATGCCCCTCAATAATCCTCTACCTAGGGCTGGGCGATAAAACGATAGCAATAATTATCGCAAAATTATTACCCTCAATTAAAAAAAACGTTTGATATAATAAATTTCCATGCTTATAGCACGCCCACAAATGAATCACAAACGGTCAATCATGTCACAGGAATAGAGGTCTGCATTGTGCAAGATAGGATGCACGTTAAATGCAGGTCAGCACGTAACATTATTTACGGATGCACGAAGTGGCTGACGGGCTTGAAGTTGGAGCGGAGTAAGCAAATAAGTAGAAACAAGCGACACCGCAGAAAAAGCAGAACGTCGTATCGTAATGTCCTATCGTTTTAACAATTCTTTTCAACAAATTAACAATTGACTGTCTATTAACTCTTTAAATCATTTATACATCTCTATGTTTGAAGACTCTATACTCCTCTATCAACATTTCTATAATCTATACCCCTTTCTAACCCTCATATCCCTTTTTTCAGCCCTTTACACACTTCTGTCAACGCTCTATCTGATTTTTAATACAACCCCAACTGTCCGTACCTTCCATACCCTCGTCAACCCACTGTACTACCTGTATTAATCATTACTACTCTTTATCAGGCATCTATCAGCTCCATGTATCTTTGCTACAGTCCTCTAACATTCCTTCATCCATCAGTTTTCTGCACCTCTCAGTTATACTTATCTGTCAGCACTGTAACCTAGCAACCTCCCAGCACGGTAGCCTAGCAACATGAGAACACATGTCAGCCTGCTGTAAGGTGGATGTGGGTGGCGTGGGGTTTGGGTTGTTGCCAGATGACCGCTGGATCTCACAGTATCAGTTTAACAAAGAGCAGCTCAGGTGGTTCAAGTTATTTTGTGCTCTGAGAGAACAAAGAAGTTGACAACCGTCCAGTGTGGATGCACAACTGTCAGGAGACTAAGAGTAGATACTCAGCAAAGTCTCAGGTATATCTCCAAAGACAGTGCATCCTCATCTCAATATACAAAGGTTGATTATTTAATGGTGACATTTCACTGTGTTTTATCACCTGAAACCTTTTAGTGACAGTGATCAGATTCACAAAAGTAAGAGAGGAAATACCTTAATGTAAAAATACTCCATCACAAGTAATAAAATAGAACATAATAGAATACAACTTTACTGTCCACAAGAGTGGAAAATTGTCTTTGGCTCATCCAAGCATAAAATCTACATGACAACTTGACATATGAAAATACTTCACTACAGTACACAAGTAACACATGCAGATGATATACATAAAACATTAAGACATAAATACTGTACATTGACAATTTTACTTAAAACTAGTGCATAGGTCAAAAGTAAAATAACTCATAATGTTATATCAATATGTATATTATAATATTGTTAAAGCCTGAACATATTTTATTGATTTAGCTGAGGAAGCTACTGCTAACTGCTTTATATCCTGATTATACTTTCATCTACAACAATGTATCATATTTATAAGCTCATCATAGATTCTGTGTCTGCTACAGTAACTATGACTGTCAGGTCAGTGGAGTACACATACTGTATTTCTCTCTGTAATGTAGTAGTATGCAGTATGAAGTATAAAGTGTGGCTGCCAACTTTAACTCTGATCCAACTCAACCCCTCCAACCCACCCACCCCCACCCAGACAATGACTCATGTTCGAAGCATCAGAGGAGGCTGAAGCAGGTTTGTTGTTTCCTCTGTCAGAGAACAGCAGCTGTGTTCAGTTACAGTGGATTCCACTCATTTTACTGCAGATCACAACAGAAGGACTGAAAAAAGACTAAGTTTAGTGTGCAACACATACAGTTCATTTATAGCAAAATATGACCTTAAGTCTCCTTTAAACTGATTTGTGATTAAATGATCAGATAGTAAAAATGAAACTGAGCCTGAAGCCAACAACCTTTTTCCTTTAAAGTAAGTCCCGTTCAAGTCAGTTTATTTATAGAGCTCAAGTGTGGACCACGGGTCCCCAAAAGAAATTTAAAATACAATATTCAAAATAGAAATTAAAATAACAGACAAATTAAAGTAATCATGTTGTTATGTTATCATGTTGTCATACTCTTGATTAAAAGAATTTACAGGACTAAGACGGGATTTACAATGAAAGTGGCAGCAGTGATGAGCTGAGTTTATTTCAATTCATTTTCCTTTAAAGACTCGGATTAAAGTTTTCACCAGAGACCTGACCAAAGAGCAGAATGAGAAACAGACTGAGACACAGTGTCCAGGTAACATCTTATATGTTCATCAAAAACAGAGACACAAACTGCCAGTCATTTAACAGGTGTGTTGTTCAGTTGTACCACCAACAACAGAAGCGTGGAGTGAGAAATCAGTGCAGCTGGTGAAGACAGTGAGGAAACTGTCTGACTGATATCAAAACAGTGTAAACAGGAAAACCGTCTCCACCAAGAGTGGGACAACAACACATTTATTTTATTACCTTTTGATTACAACATGTCAGCAGTCACGACCACCATCTGCTACACCTGAAGAAACAACCCACAGGCTCCAGGATTGAGAGGGACTCAGCAATTGGCACAACCCACACAACAGAGGACAACTGTTCTCCTGGTCTTCACTAACCATCTCTAACCGTTTCTGCATCATGGGGACATTTTAGGGACTGTTTGAAGGTTCGGACTTAGTTTCAAGGGTCAGGCTAGAACCGGGTTTATGTCAGGGTTAGGATCCAGGGATTGCTCTACATCAGTCATGGTCCTAACAAGTATAGAAAGATAAACATGTGACAAACGTTTGTGTGTATTTATCTTCCAGGACCTGATGGAGAGCGAGGGCATCACTCTTGACTGGATGTTCAGATACTCTCTCATCAATGACATTGTCAAGGTAACGACCTGAGGGTGGGGCAGAACAGTGGTGGGCGGAGCTTACAGAGAACAGCCTTATTTCCATGGAGACAGTCACACTTACTTCACTTTTTCATGTGGCCACCAGGGGGCTGTAAAAACTCCAAACTATCCATAATTGTGCTGATATTTGAAATTCAACCTGCTATTTACCTTAAGGATTTAACACCATCACATTATTGATGCAGACAACTATTTTAAGTAATATCCTCCATCAGGGTCGTGCTTCTCCACCTCTCAGAGACCACCTGTCAATCAAACAGTGGGGTGGGGTCTCTTGGATTTTCTTTCAGAAATCATCATATCTGAATTTCTTCTGTTTAGTTCAGTGTTTATTGGTTTTTTATTATCTTTTTGAATATCTACATCTAGTGCATCAGACACACTGCAGATCTCACCCAACAAAAGAGAGAGCCCCAAGCCACGCCCACCTTGGGGCATGGCTGAGAGTGGTGACTGCTTTGTTGTGACATCACAAAGTTTCACAGTATTAATATAGAACCTAGAACCTGCTTTATAATTTTTAAAAAAGACATGGAAATCCACCTTATACTATATGGACCTTTAGGTTTCTGCCATAAATAAAAACAGTAGAAAACATCCTCCCAGCATTTAACCAAAAGTCAATCAGAGGACAGTGTGTCCTTCCAAAATTACAGCTGACACTGGTGTTTTGGAGTGAAATCAGTGTTTATTGATTGAATGTTTTTTTTTCTGTCCAGGGCATGGCGTTCCTCCACAACAGCGTCATCGTCTCCCACGGTAACCTGAAGTCGTCCAACTGTGTGGTGGACAGTCGCTTCGTCCTGAAGATCACTGATTTCGGTCTGGAGAGTCTCCGGTCTCCCAGCAGCCCCGAAGACACACATGCTTACTACGCACGTATGTCAACATTAACAAATATATATATATATATATAGTATCGAGTGCGTATATAAAGTAGTATATAATGCGAGTAATATATAGGAGCGGGTAGTATGATATGGAGAGAGTACCCAGCGGGGATATATATAATCTATAGCGTGTATATATATATAAGGCACCGGACGGCGTGTGTTTCATGAGGGTATAGAGCTGACTGTTGTACTGCTGTTCGGTTATTTGGCTGTGACAACAGAAGCATAACCGAGTTCCGTTCGGGGCCAGGGATATTATGTCGAATCAGAGTGTTACCAGTCATACGTACAGCTGGTGCGTGGGTGAGAGGAGACTTACCTTTAACATAAGTTTTCAGTGTGTGTTCAATCTTAAACATAAAGCGAACAAAGCAGTGAACTGCTATGCCAAAAACATCAGAGTTTTTTAAATTAAACAAATTGTGTACCTGGTCAGGTGTTGAAGGATGGGATTGTCTTTTTCATGATCACCAAACAATGCAAAAAGTAACGCAACATATCAATCGCATATTTCATATTTATCATATATCTCACAGCGAAATAGGTCGAGCGAACAACCTATGCGAACAGATGTTTTCAATGCGTCGTTTCATCCTCTGTATCTCAATGTACATCAGACATCGTTTAACGATGCACGTAATCAATGAACGCGACCACAGTGATGCAAAGTGGGGACATGGATGTAAGATTGCTGAGTACAAGCAGAGAACCCCACAGCAACCTTCACACGTTAACACCAGAAAATCTGGCCTGGTTCAACTACAGTCAAGGAAACGCCCGCCACTTTGCGAAGATTAAGGAATAAAAGTGTTTTTCATGTAACGTCCCCTGTTTGAGTCCGCCTGTCCTGTCAGCTGTCTATTACAAGTGTTACTGGTGAGGATAAGTATAGGTGCCACCCGGCGCCGATCGACCGCTCCACCCCCCCCCCACCCTGCAGGTAAACTGTGGACAGCTCCAGAGCTGGTGAAGTCAGAGTGCCCCCCTCCCAGTGGGACTCAGAGAGGAGATGTGTACAGCTTTGGGATCATCCTGCAGGAAGTGGCTCTACTCAGAGGAGTTTTCTACCTCGACACTCACACTCTCACTCCTAAAGGTCAGTGGTCAGGTTTTACTGAAGATGTGAGGACCTGAGAGTCGTATTAGACTGGAACAGAACTCATTGTTCAGTGTGGTGTCCGACCACGTCTAAAATCAAAGTATTTATCATTGGTATCAGTTCAGTTTTATTTGTATAGCATCAAATCACAACACACATGATCTCACATCTTTTTACAGAGTCCAGTCCAGATCTTAAATTATTATAGAGAGAGAGGAGAGAAGGGGGGTGTCAGACTTTGTTTTGTTTTGAAGGACTCAGAGGTGGAGGTGTGAATGTTGAACTGTTGATTTCAGGTGTGTGTGTGTGTATGTTTTTTACATTCCAGTGTGTCAGCTTGACAACACATGGCTGTCATCACACACACACACACACACACACACACACACACACACACACACACACACACACACACACACACACACACACACACACACACACACACACAAATGTCAGTGTGTTGTGTGTCCTTACTTCCTTCTGCTCTCAGATCAGTGTTACAGAAACATGGACTAGTCCAGACTACAGACCAGCTCCAAGCAGGTTTTCAGTCTGCTGTCAGTTCTCAGTAGAAAACCGACAAATTTCAGTAAAGTCAGAGGAGACTCACCCCAGTGACAATGAGAACCTCTGCAGGAGGGTACAGGAAAATACTAGTATTGTCACAGTTAGCACCTTGGTGTTGGGGCGTTCTGGTTGAACATCTACCATTTACGCTCAGTCCTTACTGCAGCGGCCCAGGTTTGAGTCCCTGACCTGCCTGTCTCTCTGTCACGGTAACTATAATAAAGGCAAAAATGCCCGAAAAAATAACTTGTGTGGTGTTGATCTGTTGTCTTCCTTCACACAGAACAAATCACAAAGTGACATCTCCCTAAAACATTATGGAACAAGATGCTTTTTTTTAATGACCTGTTCTACCTCCACTATGTTCATCACCACCATTAATCAACTGTGTCTTCAAAGTGCGGCATGACACCATTTTAACTTCTTCACATGGGTCCAGTTTCCTGTTTCCTGACTATGCATGATGACATAATCAAAACTGTCCAATCAACAAGTTGCCTGTCAGTCCATGTAACTTCATATGACTTAAAAGGCTCTTAAGACTTCATGCAGCACAGCACAGACTGATGCATGCTGGTTAGATGGGTCGCCCCAGTTCAAATGAAAACCACAAAAAAACTGCTACAAAGGCTGGTTCATGTTACCCTGAGTCAACTGATCACTGATCAGCAGCTACAGTCAGCTGTAACATAAATCCTGGAATCAGCATCTAATGAGAGGAACAGGACTCGTCCAGCAGCTGCAGCAGGTCGAGTCATCACATCAACCTGCGGTTTCATCAGTCACAGAGGTGACGACTGCGTACCGCACTATAAGATAAAAGACTGACGGTTTGTTGTAGTGCCTCAACAACACATTACATCTTGTTTTAAAGATGATGTCCCCATTTGTCCTCCCCCCTCAGAGATCGTCCAGACGGTGTGTCAGGGTGGCGTCCCTCCCCTCCGTCCCTCCCTCTGCTTCCACAGTCACAGCGAGGAGCTCGGAGTCCTGATGCAGCGCTGCTGGAGCGAAGAACCCAGCGAACGACCCGACTTCAACACCATCAAGATCCTGCTGAGGAAACAACACAGGTGTGTGTGTGTGTGTGTGTGTGTGTGTGTGTGTGTGTGTGTGTGTGTGTGTGTGTGTGTGTGTGTGTGTGTGTGTGTGTGTGTGTGTGTGTGTGTGTGTGTTCTCCTACTTAGAACAGAGCTGTAGTTTTATTCACAACATCTGAAACATCTGTCTGATAAAGAAAAATCTGCATTTATATTCATTATCTTCTCTCCAATAACAACAAGAGGCACCACTGTTCTGGACCGACGTGGAAATCTAAAACTGAACATTCTGTCCACCTGTCTGTCTGTGTAGAGGTTATGGTTCAAACATCCTCGACAACCTTCTGTCTCGGATGGAGCAGTATGCAAACAACCTGGAGGAGCTGGTGGAAGAAAGAACGCAGGCGTACCATGAGGAGAAACGCAAGGCTGAGGCCCTTCTCTACCAGATACTACCACAGTAAATATACTGCAGTAAAACTGCATCAAGTACTGCATAAACTTATTGTTTTCAGTACTTTTACCTCATTTCTGTCTGTTTGTGTTTCAGTTCAGTAGCTGAGCAGTTGAAACGAGGTGAGACGGTTCAGGCTGAAGCTTTTGACTCAGTTACCATTTACTTCAGTGACATCGTGGGCTTCACTGCCCTGTCAGCTGAGAGCACGCCACTGCAGGTCAGTAAAACTCAGTAGAACATACTAAAACTGGTTTCTACACCAGCACATCCTCCATGTAAACATGAACCTGAAACTACAAGTGCTCCATCTAGTGGTGTAATATGTTATTACCACAACAAAACACATTTTCTAACTCACTTTTAACTGTAACTCATGTGTTGTATAAAGTGACAATGGGAGGTTTAAATGTGTTCTTCTTCCTCCAGGTTGTGACCTTGTTGAATGACCTCTACACCTGCTTTGATGCCATCATTGACAACTTTGATGTTTACAAGGTAACACGTTCCTCACCTCTGTTTACCCTGCCTCCAGACTTTGTGCTAAGCTATGCTAGCAGTTTACCCCTTCTCATCTAAAGCACCAAGTGTTAGTGATTGTTAGGGCCAGCTGAACCCTGTTCTGTGTCACTGAATGACAGCCACACACTCAGTGGTAGTCTGTGTGTCATATTTACACTCAGCAAAGCATAGATCTACTTTGTGACTACTGGTTTGTCTCTCCTCTGAAAAAGCCAGATCATCTAAGACTTTGTCAGACCTTAAAGTCTACATGAAAAGTAAAAGGTAAATGTTTGAAGACTCCTGAATGCTACCCTCAGGTTGAAACCATCGGGGACGCCTACATGGTGGTGTCAGGTCTGCCAGGGAGGAATGGTAAACTCCATGGTCGAGAGGTGGCCCGCATGTCACTTGCCCTGCTGGATGCCGTCAAGAGCTTTAGGATCCGACACCGACCCAACCAGCAGCTCCGGCTACGCATTGGCATACACAGCGGTCAGTGTGTGTGTGTGTGTGTGTGTGTGTCTTTCAGTATTAGTGTTAGATGATTCTACAAAATAACTGGTTTGTTTTGTGTGTTCAGGTCCAGTGTGTGCAGGTGTAGTTGGGCTGAAGATGCCCAGGTACTGTCTGTTTGGAGACACAGTCAACACAGCGTCACGCATGGAGTCCAACGGAGAAGGTAAAACACATACATACACACACACACACACACACACACACACACACACACACACACACACACACACACCAGAAATAATACAGAATCAAATGTCCTTTAATGTGGCTGTGAGGTAATGAAATTAATCTTTGAATCCACACTGCAGTAACAAACACAAACACAGACAGGAAGACAAAGTACACAACTACACACAACTACAAATGACTACTGTATAATAACCTTTTACCTCCTGTCCCTTTGTGTTGTGAACTTCCCTTTAATGCCACGTTCACAACAACTGTTCACAACAAGAACTCTGTTTCACTGCAAATCAAAAGAAGGTCCATTATTGTCTCTTAGTTTTGGTCTGGTTCATGTTCACTGTGACCTTACGGTCTGTGGAGGATCAGAACCCCCAAGGGACTCAGATCCAGATAAACAAGTCTCATGAAGTCACATGGACTGACAGATAACCGTTGATTGGACGATGTAGGTAATGTCATCCTGCACCATAAGAGCTATGAACCCACAGAGGACAATCATACTGTGGTGACTGACAGCAGGTGTTGATGTCACAGATAAAGATAAACTGGTATAAACAGGATGATGTTTTTTTCTATGTTCTGTACAGAGCCCCTCCTCTGTCTGATTGGAGTGTTTTTCTGAAAAGAGGGGAACGTTTAATAGGTCTGTGTTAAAGTTCTGATTCTCATGTTTATGCTGTTTCTCTGCAGCTTTGAAGATTCACGTGTCGGAGGCGACTCGTCAGGTTCTGCAGGAGTTCAGCTGCTTCCAGCTGCAGCTCAGAGGAGAGATTGAGATGAAGGGGAAGGGACGCATGAGGACATACTGGCTGCTGGGAGAGGGCAGCAACTGACAGAGGAGAGGACACCAACAATTGACAGAGTAATGGACAACACTAACCGATAGAAGAAAGAAAGAAAGAGAAATAAAGAAACAAGGAACAGACAGACTGGCAGACATCAGAAACAACCAGCAGGTTTTAAAACCCTCCTCTCTGATTGGACGTTTACCTCTGACATCACTTAAAGTGACAGTTTGAACTTTCCTGTTGGGAACTTTGAGAAAAGTTTCACCCATAAATGAACTGTACAGAAAACACAGACAGATGAATGTTTCACTGTAATAATAAATCATTTAAAGTTAGATGTGTAAATACAAAATAAACTGTGTGTGTTTTATTATCTGTCTCGTTATTGTTTAAACTGTAAACTCCGTAAACTTTATATTAAAGGTCAAAATAACTTTCTGGGCTATGTAGACAGTATAAATCTTTATACTTTTCCTGTTCATGACAAAACCCAGACAGAACCTGAGCTTTTTACCTGAATTTTTTATGTACAACCGGAAGAGGGCTACATGAGTCCACACAGACTACATTTAACGTCTTCATTAATAAAGTTAATGAAGTTTATTAACTCTGGTTGGTGTTGAGCTTTAACACTTTATACTTTAACACATCAAAGTAAAAAAAGAATAAAACACTGATGTGAAGTTACAGAGAGTCATTAAATAATTCACTCATCATTGTGGTTTAGTTTTGATTAGTTTCTTGTCTGTTTTCATGGGACAAAATTATAAAGCTGCGTCCCTGGTTCTGATCTCAAACTAATATTGATAGCATTGGCGTTATTGATAAACCTGTTCTAATGGTACAGGAGGCCGGGTTTGGCTCCAGATTGTCTCTCCTGTCATTGGCCCTCACTCGCATCACTCAGAGGCCTCGGTAAAATGATTGGTCAGCAGGCCTGTGGTCCCGCCCCCGTCCCTCCGGTCGGTCGGTGCGGATGTCCGTTATGTTGCTGTGGTCGGACAGAGTCTTAGAGCGGGACTGAGAGTCACCGTTGACCTGAAATAAGTTTTAAAAACCCATATTTACCGACCGGACTGTGTCACACACATGCTGCGTCACTGACGGCAGCACCACACTCTCCAGTACACCGACACGAACATTCAGAACCCGTGAGAACCGGGACTCCAACCCTTCTCAGCTCCGCGGGGCCAGGCGAGGCGCGGCGGGAGCAGATGGAGCCTGCACCGGCGAAGGCGAAGCCGCAGGGCCGGCTACTGGTGTCTACCCCGCTGGACGCCAAAGACGAGCTGGAGGAGGTAGGCTGACCCGGGCTAACGGCTCAGAGAGCAGGTATAACCCGGGATAACCCCGGTCAGAGGCAGTTTATCGGTGAATACGAGCAATTTGAGGACAGTTTTGTTTAAAACAAAGACATGGAACCATTTTATCACCCAGGCTAGGCTAGTTAGCACCGCTAGCAGGGGGCTAGCAGTGTTAGCATAGCACAGCCGCACAGGAGCTTGTGTAAACATGTTGTAGCTGGTTTAACCCCGCGGTGTGAGACAGGTTAGGGGTCTCAGGTGTTAGTGAGCCCTGAAAGACGTCACGGCGGTGATTTAAAGTCAGACCTGACCGACTGTTAGCCTAGCATGCTAACCATACGTAAACATATGGATGAAAAGTGACAGGTGCGCATGCGCCGTGGTTGTGTTTCACATGTCAAAAGTAGTGAGACGAAGACAGGTAAGACAGTTATACCTATGTGACGCGTTAATGTGTTTTATACTTTGAAGGTTTATCAGCGTATAACGAAACACCCTGTCTGTCGTGTGGATCTCTGTGTGGTGGTGGTTGTTGTTGTGTGTGTGTGTTTGTTGCTGTGTGTGTTGTGTATCTGTGTGTGCAGAGACTGGAGCGTTGTGTTGGGATCATCCAGTCGTTGACCAATGGGCTGTCGGAGAGAGAGGCCAACGATGCGCTCACTGCTAATGTAAGAAACACACACTGTTTTGATGCTGATGTTGGGTGTCATTATCAAAATAAAACCATTAATCCGTTATCAACAGAGTTGCTGCTCAGTGTCATAATTTTATAGTTGCTGTTTGTATTTTATTATGTGTTTTGTGTGTGTGTAGTATTTTATTTGTTGTGTGTGTGTGTGTGTGTGTGTGTAGTATATTATGTTTTGTATGTGTGGTATATCGTGTGTTGTGTAGTATTCCCATGTGTTTGCTTTGTGTACTGTAGATGCTGATAATGTATTCTGCTTTTGTATTACATCTGTTCTTGTACTTGTGCAAAACTTGGAAACTAAATGTCTCTGTCTGACTTACTGTTTACCTGTCCCTCAGGTGTGTAAAGGTCAGCAGCAGCATGAGGAAGTGTGTCTGGGTCTGTTCACTCTGGTCCTCACAGAACCGACCCAGGCCCAGAGGGTGAGACACCACTGCATCATTGTTATTGTTTGACATCACTGTGACATCACTCTGACATCGCTGTGTGTGTGTGGGGGGACAGTGTTACAGAGACCTGACGCTGGTCAACAGAGATGGGATGAATGTGATCTTGGTGAAGATCAACCAGATCCTGATGGAGAAGTTCCTCAAACTGCAAGATGTCCCGAGAACTCAGGTAAACAAACTCCAGGTACACACTCAGGCATATCTAAAGGTATATAATATACTATATTAAACACACCTGTGTATAAGATTATCCCTCCTACTGCCAAGTTGTCACTGTTTACCCAAATTTACTGTTGACATTGTTTCATTCACTTTTTGAGTGATGATAACGACGAGGAGTCCAAACAGACCAATCACAGTTCTTGTTGTGTTCGCTCCCAGGAGTAGATTAACTCTCTGACACCTGAGTTTAAATCTGAAAGTTCAACATGCTGCTGAGTCACAAACATGTCATTAGTGTCAGTGATGGCTGACAGATCAGACTCAGGGAAGAAGAACAGGAAACACACCTGGCAGCAGGAAGCAGTTCTCACCCGAATGAATAAATCCTTTGTGAACTGAATGTCATGTGATACTGATTGAGTTGATGTGTGTACAGCTGGTGTGGCTGGTCAGAGAGCTGGTGAAGAGTGGGGTAATGGGAGCTGACGGAGTCGTCATGACTCTGCTGAAACAGATTGCAGGTCAGAACCTTTCACTCACACAGAGTTCATTTTCATCATGTGAAACATCAGCAGGAATCACAACTGTGATTTCACTCAAAGTAACACTGTATTTTTATTGTGTTGATGTTTAGGTGGAGATATCTCCACTAAGAATCTGTGGTTGGCTGAGAGTGTCCTAGACATTCTGCTGGAGCAAAAGTATGTTTCACTATTCATCTATTTATAAAAAACCTTTTAATCAGACTGCACCGTGTAGAGAAAATGTTAGTGTTTCTGAATGTACTTCCAGCAAGAACAAACAAGTTTTTGCTGTGATATAAACAAGGGAGTAGTTTTCTTCACAGTAAAAGCTATTGTTAAGCAGCTGTAGTGCTTTTATTTTGAAGGTAGCATTGGGCTTTTAATGTGAAGATATCGATGGGCTTTTTACTGTGAAGCAGCTGAATATTTTTTCTCTCTAGGGAGTGGGTATTAAAGAGCGGGATGCTGATAGCGATGTCAGTCTACACCTACCTCCGCCTGATCGTGGACCATGGAGCCCCAAACCTGCTTCCTCTCCGCCAGAAAGAGGTGGACTTCTGCATCAGCATGCTGAGGGAGAAGGTAAGGAAGGAAGGACAGAGGGAAGTTAGCTTTGTGCCCGAGTGGTTACCCTCATAACCCTGTCTTTTTATCTATAGTTCATGGAGTGTCTGATCATCGGCAGAGATCTGGTTCGTCTGCTGCAGAATGTGGCTCGGATCCCAGAGATGGAGCTGCTGTGGAGAGACCTGCTGCACAACCCACAAGTCCTCAGTCCTCAGTTCACAGGTAAACTACACTACCCACAATCCTCAGTTCTTAGTTCACTAGTAAATCTCATTAGTGTGTTTGAGGAAGGGATGTCATGATACCAGAACTCATGATACCACAATTCTGATACCAATTCCCATAGCAAAAAACACAAAACGACAGAGGCTAGCTAGAGAGTAGTTTAAATTGACTAATAGACCCATGGTGTTATAAATATAAAAATATTCTGACAGACTGAACAGCCATGACTGTAGCCTGCTTATGTTGTGAGCACCGGCTTGTGTTATGAGCTGTCGCTATGCTAGCCTTGACAAGCCAACGTTAGCCTAAACAAGCCTAATTTGAGAGATGTTACAGAGTGATGTGTCTTCACTCACAAACAATCTCTGGCAGAGTCCAGTCAGTGACTTGTGGAGAGCTCATTAACTAACAGACACAATACACTAGATTTGATATAATCCACCCTTGCTGACGTTGTTGTTTAAACACATATGATGTTACACAATGTTTCTGATGAGTATGTGTTTAATTGTTGTGTGTCTTCATGTGTGTGTTGCAGGTGTCCTCCAGCTCCTGACGGCTCGGACATCCAGGAAGTTTCTGGCCTGTCGACTCACACCAGACATGGAGACCAAGCTGCTGTTCATGACCTCCAGGGTAAAGACAACATATAGTTTCTTTGTCAATGTCTGCAGTACTCAGACCTCATCGAACTGTGAGGATCCACCGACAGGCCCTGCAGTCCGATGTGGTTTAAGTAGTACACTGTGGTACATCAGTCTGCACACTGTCACACTTACGTTCTGCCACTAGTGATTTCTGTTTGTATTAATCAATCTACCAATTATTTTATTGATTAATAAGCTGCTTTCAAACTTTGTTTACCCTACTTCTATTGTTTCAACAGGTCAAAACAAACACACATCTTCACATTCTGTCTTTCATCTAATAAATTAATCATGTGATCGTTAAAGCTCACTGAGTTAGCAGTAAAACTAGTTGCTAGTGTTTACTTTTAGCTCTGTTCAGAGGTTTGATGTTGTAATCATGTTCACGTAACAACTGAAAACAGTATCCACACATCAACTCAGGTAAATCTCTCACTGCATCTTCACCTGTGTGCTCAGGTGCGCTTCGGGCAGCAGAAGCGGTACCAGGACTGGTTTCAGAGACAGTACCTGTCCACAGCAGAGAGCCAATCACTGCGCTGCGATCTTATTCGATACATCTGTGGAGTGGTCCATCCGTCCAATGAGGTGTTGAGCTCTGACATCCTGCCTCGCTGGGCAATCATTGGCTGGTTGCTTACCACCTGCACGGTAAGGGGGCGTGGCCTCAGAATGTCAATCTGGATGTTTTAGTCAATTAAAATCAATAACTGATTTATTAATTTGTGTCTCCAGTCAAATGTGGCTGCTTCCAACGCCAA